TGGAAGATTTCTGCCGCCTGGTTGAAAACGAACACTTATAATATGAAAATGACATGATATTACCACTATGACCAGTAGAGGGCTGCAGAGGATCACTCATTGGTTCATTTGCCGTTTCCAATTCAGTTATGTTCACTTTTTGCTTTTGGATTTACATTTAGACATTAGAAAATCACTAATATAGCATTTTAAAAAATGACTTTTTGTCAAATGTCAGCACTGTTTTGTACTGAAGTATGAATAGTTTTCAAAAACTCATTGCATGGATGAATCACACAAATGACCTTTTCTGAATTCAAAACGGCGATTTTCGGCTAAATGTGACTAGTTGAGCTGTCCTCAGTTTAATGCTTTTTTGTTTGTTTGTCTTGTTCTGTTCTGCACCACAGAATGTTTCCCTCCTCTATTCATTTTGTTTAGGATATGACTGTAACAATGTCGAAGGGTGAACTCATTTAAAATGCTAAACAAACGTTAAACAAACAAACAAAAAACGTCTTCCTCTGTTTATTTTTAAGCAGTAAACTTTTGATTATTTTATTAAAGAAGATTTTCACTGAATGATTTCACTAAAAGTTTATTTTTAAATTTTTTTGTTAGGGATTCAGCATTCCGGATAGGGGTGGGAAGATCATTCCACCAGCCAGGAACAGTGAATGAAAATGTTCTGGAAAGTGATTTTGTGCCTCTCTGTGATGGCACCACGAGCCGTCGCTCACTTGTAGATCTCATGCTTCTGGAGGGGATGTAGATTCATAAGAGTGAGTGGAAGCAGGAGGGTGCTGAGCCTGTGGCTCTTCTATATGCAAGCATCAATGTCTTGAACTTGATGCGAGCCGCAACCGGTAGCCAGTGCATGGAGATAAAGAGAGGTGTGACTTTGGCCCTTTTGGGCTCAATGAAGACCAGTCGTGCTACTGCATTCTGAATCATTTTTTGATGTTTGATTGTGCTTGATGGAAGTCCAGCCAGAAGAGCATTGCAGTAGTCCAGCCTAGAAATGACAAGGGCCTTGACAAGAAGTTGTGCAGCATGCTCCTGATCTTTCTGATGTTGTGCAATACAAACCTGCATGATCGATCAGTTTTTGCAATGTAGTCTTTGAAAGTCAGCTGGTCATCAAAGATTACACCAAGATATCTGACCGAACTTGATGGGGTAATTGTTGATGAGCTTAGCTGGATGGTGAAATCATGCTGTAGAGTCGGAGTGGCAGGGAAGACGAGAAGTTCAGTCTTTGCCAGGTTGAGCTGTAGGTGATGTTCTTTCATCCATGCAGAGATGTCCGCCAGGCAGCCTGAGATCCGTGCAGCTACCGGTTGAAATGAAAGATAAGAGTTGTGTGTCTTCAGCATAGCAAAGGTAGAAGAAATCATGTGCCTGTATGATGGGTCCCAGTGATGTTGTGTATACGGAGAAGAGGAGGGGTCCAAGAACTGATCCCTGTGGAACCCCAGTGATCAGTTGATGTGCTTTGGATACCTCCCCTCCCCAGGCCACCCTTAAAGACCTACCTGTGAGATAGGATTCCAGTGATGAGAGGGTGGACAGGAGGATCTGATGATTCACAGTATCAAAAGCGGCAGATAGATCCAGCAGAATGAGAACTGATGATTTGGAATCAGCTTTCGCAATCCGTAAGGCTTCAGTGACCGACAATAATGCAGTCTTCGTTGAATGGCCACTTCTGAAACCTGACTGGTTATTCTGTGAAAGAAATAATGATATCTGGTTGAAAACAACTCGTTCAAGTGTTTTCGCTATGAATTGAAGGAAAGAGACTCCTGGTCCAGGTCTGTAGCTATCTACAAGTGAAGTGTTTAATGTAGGCTTTTTGAACAGTGGGGTTACCCAAGCCTGCTTGAATGCGGTGGGGAAAATGCCTGGGAGAAGAAATGTGTTGATGATATGATGTTACTTCTGCCTCAGTAAGGGGACAGGAGGAGGAGAGGGGAGTTTTAGCAGTGGATGTGGTTTAGTAGTGGAGGTGGTGGAGAGGGACAGAGAAGAGAATTTAATGTTTTGAAGAGATTACGTGTGTCTGAAGCGCTGTCGTGGAAATACAAAGGATTTAGCAGTATGGACTTCAGCAGAGAAAGATGAAAGCAGAGACTGATACAAACTCAGGTCTGACGGATCTTTTGATTTGTGTCATTTTCTCTCTGCTGCTCTTAATTTGGACTGATGTTCACAAAGAACATCAGACAGCCAGGGGTTAGAAAAGGTAGCACGTGCTGGCCTGGAGGAGAGAGGACATATATCGTCTAGACAAGAAGTTAAAGTGGAGCATAATGTGTCAGTTGCTGCATTCACATCCAGAGATGAGAAATGGGTGGGTGAGGGAAGAGAGGAAGACACTACAGAGGAAAGATGGGAGGGTGTAAAGGAGCGTAGGTCCACAGAAAAAGAGAGAGGTGCACCTCTCTTTTTTTCTGTGGGTCTCTGGAATTGTCAGACTTTTCCAGCAATTACTTCAATTTAAATAAATAAATTAATTAATTAATAAAACAGTTTATGAGACGGCATGCAGTATGAAATGGGAGTAATTTGACTCTGAATAATAATAATAATAATAATAATAATAAAATAGTTTGTGAGACAGCATGCATTATGAAACTTAAGGCGCCAAAATGTAACTTAGGTTTTAGTTCCTCCAATCTTCAGTGAAAAAGACTTTCACAAAAGACTTTTCCACAAAAAAAAGAAAGAAAAAAGAAACAAAAAAACCCCACAAAAGTAGAAAAATTTTATTAGAAAAGTGTTAAAATAAAAATAAAAGATGTTATAAAATAAAATGCTACCCTACATTTATTTTTGTGGAATATTGTTTCACAGAAATAGGTTACATTATGGAATAAAAGTGCATATTCATGTTGACTTTGTACAATTTTGAATACATTTTGAATAATTTCAATGTTTAAAATGTTTAAATTAAATATTTTAATATTTTACATTTTTATTTAAATGTTTTCAAGTATTTACATATTTTTTTACTTTTACAAAATTATAAAACTATATGTTGCACTAAGTTCTTTGAGCCATTTTGCTGATATTCTATAATAATAATAATAATAATAATAATTTAAATAATTTAAAAATGTAAAAATTTTTAAATAAGTATTTTTAATACTTTGAAATATGTACATATTTACAAATATATTAAAAATAATATGTTTAATGAAAAAAAACATATTTTGAGTCATTTTGCTAACTGACACCAAATTTCTCCAAAACCTCTCCCTTTGAAGTAGCACGTCACATGCCTATACATTCACATAGTGCTGTGTTTGAGAAGCAGCTGGTACAGGCTGTGTTTACATGCGGATCGAGAGGCAAGCGTCCGTCCGTCCGTCCGTCCGTCTGTCCGTCCGTCCATCCACACACAGACTGGGGTTTGTGTACAGAGGATTCTCCAGCTCTCTGCTGCCAGTCTGTGTTTACTCACAGCACAGCTGGTGCCGTTTCATTATGATTGTGTGTGTGTGTCATATCTGTTGTTCTGAATCTGCTCACACACACACACACAGACGGATGCTGGACACTGCATATGTCCTGATGTCCAAAGACCGGCGGTGCGACTAAAGGCCAGTTTAAAGGACATCTGTTGCTCTTGGCCGACATTACTGGCACACTGATGCAGAATACACACGGGACATTTGGACAGGAGACGGAGCCAGAGCACAAACACACACCTGTAGAAACACACACACACACACACACACAGTCTGGAAAGGAGAATATATGGCTGAATTATGTTGCTTCTCACTTTTTAGCATTTGCATATAATTGCATTAAAGTTTCTTTTTTCATATTTTGGCAGAGATAATGGACTCAGTGTTATTTTAGTATTATAGTGATACTATTATAGTTTTTATAAATATTTAAATTAGTTTTTATATTTTCTGTTTTCATTTTAGTTAAAGTTTTAGTAATTAGTTGTGTGTTTGTCATTTTTATGGTTTATTATTATTTTTAAAATATGTCTGTATACTTTTTATTTTTTTATTATTTCAGCTTTAGTTATTTTAGTATATGAAAATTTAATATCTCATTAAATAAAAATCAGAAGTGTTGCTAAAATAAAATAGCTAAAATAAAATATTAATAATTAAAATAAGTTCAAGTTTTTGTATGTATTTTATTTTATTTTGGTTAACTTTTTTATTGAACTATAATAACCCTGAATGGATTTCTCAGTTACTTCTCTTTTAAGTGAGAAACTTTGTCTCCCATTGTTTAATAAAAAATAAGACACAAATGAGACAATAGATTTTTACCTACAGTAAGAAGAGCTATTATCTGATTTATTTTGCATCTTACTTTTTAGTAGCTGCATAAAATTGCAGAAAAACTTTTTTTCATACTTTGAGAGACATAATGGAGTCAGTGTTATTTTAGTATCATTGAGGTACAATTATAGTTTTTATCAATATTGTAAATCATTTTATATTTTTTATTTCTGTTTTCATTTAAATTAAATTGAATTTATTTTATTGTACTTCAGTTATTATAATATTTATTTTATTTCAAGTATAATTTTTTTTTATTGTTTTAGAGATCTATAATAACCCTGAATAGAATTTTTTATGTTGCATCCTTTTAGCATTTGCATAAACTTGCATAGTTTCTTTTTTTAATAGTTTTATATTTTTTTAGTAGTTGCATAAAATTGCATAATTTAATTATAATAACATAATGGAGTTCTTTCTTTTTTTTATAAAAAAAATATATACACAAATTAGACATGTTGAGCACAGAGCCATTATCTGATAATCTGGACAATTAGACCATTTACGCTTGGAAGAATTTGATGAGAACTCTGACTTTTGTTTGTAGACGTTGCAATCTAAAAGTCTAAATTTCTCTATTTGTGCTCCATTCAATTTCTTTGCTGATATAACTGAGATCTACGAATATACAAATCCGTATAACATGCTAATATTTATTTAGGTAAAGATACACAGTTGCATTAGAGTGTTTTGATGTGTTGTTGTTGCTAGGATACGCCATCCTGCAGGCCATCATGGAGAAGGCGGGTCAGAACGGCTGGCAGGTCAGTGCCATCTGTGTGGAGAACTTCAGTGACGCCAGTCACAGAAGACTGCTGGAAGACCTGGACCGGCGACAGGAGAAGAAGTTCGTCATCGACCTCGAGGCAGAACGACTCCAGAACATTCTGGAACAGGTGAGGAAGACCTCTGCAACAAATTCTGATACCACATTTACTCTCTTATAACACAATCCTGGTCGAACGCAGTTGATAAAATAAAATGCTCCACTACATTGTTTTTATTGTGGAATATTATTTTTCACAGAAATATATTACATAATGGAATAAATTGGGTTGGCAGTCCCATTTCATGTTGACTTTTATTACACAATATTACATTTTTTTTAATTTTTTTTACAATTTTTAATTTTTATTTATATGTTTTAAATATTTAGATATTTAAAACAGAACGTAAACATTACTGTATATATAGTGCTGGAAGCTCTTTACGCCATTTTGCTAACTGACTTTGAAAATATTTTACAATATTTAAAAAAAAATGTATTAAAAATGTAACATTTATTATAAAACTATATATAGCTCTGTGAGTCCTTTGAGACATTTTGATAACTGACTTTGAACATATTCTACAATATAAAAAAAAAAAAAAGTTTAAAAATTAAATATTAAGAGAAAATATTAAATACTTTTACGAATATTTAGATATTTAAAAATATATATTTTTAAGAATTATAAAAATATATATAGTACTGTAAGTGTTTTGAATAGTTTTGCTAACTGACTGAAATTACTCTACAATATTTCAAATGAATTTCAAATTCTACAATGTTTCAAAATATTTTTTATAAATAATTATATTTAAATGTTTTAAATATTTTGATAAAAATTTAGCCTTTTTGACTGACTTTGAAAATATTATACAATATTATACAAAATATTATACAAAAATGTTTAAAAATTGTATATTTATTTTAAAAATGTAATACATTTTTTAATATTTAGATAATTATATTATAAAATATATTTTTGAAAATCTATAAAACAGTATACTCCACAATATTTGTAAGCTCATTCATAGAAAACATTAATTACATTTTTTAAATATTTAGATTATATTTTTTAAATAGTACTATAAGTGCTTTGAGCAGTTTTTCCAGCTGACTTTGAAATTATTCTACTATATTTTAAATATATATTTATAAATATTTTAAATATTTAGATATTAAAAAAATATATTTTAAAAATATTATAAAACATATACATACACACAAATACACACACACACACACACACACACACACACACACACACACACATGATGATGTTTTGCTAACTCACACCAAACTTCTCCAAAACCTTTCAAAGCTGACACAATGCACAATGATCCTGAACCTGCACATTGATTGACAAGCAGAGAGTATTTCTGATTGGCTAAAAAAGCACAGTTCTGCCTCCCTAACTCAGTGTTTGTCACACTGTCAGTCTCACAAACCCATTCCAGTAATATCTGTCAGGTAGCAGCCACATTTAATGCGTGGCATTCTAAAATACGAAATCGCTTACAGCACCTTTAAAGGAAAAGCATAAAAACACAAATCACAGCGAGCCGGAGAGATCGCAGAGCAAGACGAGCGATCAGTGTTTTCCTTCTGGCCTGCGATTTGTTATTTTCTCAGTGACTCGCTCTGATCCCTCCTCCCGCCTGCGGAGCTTCTCGCCGTTCCTCACAGAATATGAGCACGCTCTGTCTGTCATGTGCATTGAAACTCAGAATAACACGATGTGCAGAGAGACAGAGACGAGAACAGGTGCTCACGAAACTGCTGCCAAACAGCCTGAAACAGACACGTCACAGTGATGTGATCTCACACACAAACAGCCAAAACAACCACCATATTTACAACACAGCAGCATTTGTGACCCTGGAGCACAAAAGCAGTCTTAAGTCGCTGGGGTATATTTGTAGCAATAGCCAAAAATACATTGTATGGGTCAAAATGTCCTATCCTAACAAACCATACATCAATGGGAAGATTATTTATTCAGCTTTCAGATCATGCATAAATCTCAATTTCGAAAAATTGACCCTTAGTGCTCCAGGGTCACATTTGTCCTAGCTTAACGCAGGTCAAATACCATCATGACACAGCAGTTTGACAAGAACCTTATTGAGAAAGCTAATTAATCATTCAGTTTAGTGCCATTTGAACACTGATGCCAACAATAATGTAAACAATAATGCAAGAGTACCGAAAAAATGTAATGTTTTTTTTTTAAGAAATTGATACTTTTATTCAGCAAGGATGCATTCAATTGATGAAAAGCGACAGTAAAGACATTAATAATGTTGTGAAAGTTTTCTATTTCAAGTAAATGCTGTTCTTTTTACCTTTTTTTTTTTTTTTTGGCAAGTTTTACAAGCACAAGTAACATTTTCTTAGAACATGTAAACTCTAGTTATAAAATAATCATATATATTATTAAATTACAGTAATTATTTTTTTAAATAAAATAATTAAAGTAATAAGTATTTTATATTAAAATGTATATATTAATATAAGTGTATAAATTTCTTTCTTAAATATATAATTTATTTTAATATAACAACTCATTTAATACAATCTTAATGCATTTTTATTCACTTAAAAATGTTAATCATTTAACATAATTTAATATAATTGTAATGCTTTTTTTATTCATATAAAAACATCTCTGCCATCACTGGCATTTTAAAATGTATTGTAATAAAAACAGATATTCTAAATTGTAATAATATTCCACAATATTTTATTTATATGTTTTAAATATTTAGATATTTAAAAATATATTTTTAAAACGTATAACATTACTGTATA